GGACTTGAAGTGGAAATCATGTTTTTGGATTTGAAAGAGACCCTTGTTTGCTTTCCCATTTGGCACGCATCATATAGGTGATCCTTTATAAATTTTATCTTTGGAAGACCTACTACTAGATCCTTGGATACAACCTTATTAAGCAAATCAAAGTTAACATGCGCTAAGCGTCTATGCCAAAGCCATGAATCATCATTCAAGGTGACTAGACACTTAGAGATTGTTAAGGATACATCAAAAAGGTCAAGTATATAGACATTGTTTACTCTAATGCCCTTAACCACAATATCTTTTTCAGTATTTTCAATTATGCAACAAGTATTTGTGAAGGTAACTTTATAACCTTTGTCACATAATTGACTAATACTGAGCAAATTGTGTTTAAGCCCCTCTACTAAATGGACAATAGAAATAGTAGTGATAGAGGGATTACCTACACTACCTTTACCGAGTATAGCTCCTTTGTTATTGTCTCCATAGGTAACAAATCCTTTCTTCTTTGCCTTAAAGTCAATGAAGAGCGATATGTCACCAGTCATATGCCTTGAACACCCGTTGTCTAAAAACCATCTTCTATCCATGGGTGTGAGGCATTTTTCCTACAATATCAAAAGAGAGAGGTAGGTACTCAATTTTTATTGGGTCCATGTAGGTAAGTGGTAACATGGTTGCCTTTAGGCCTCCATTGATAAATGCCTTTAGGAACAAGGATCCTCCTAAACTTGCATTTTTCAATGGTATGTCCAAAGTGACAACAATAATGGCATAAACCATGATGATGATGTATTGTTTTACTTCTTCTCATTGTATCCTTTGGTAATTTTTTAACAAAAGATTATTTTGAATATGGTGGATTTAATGTTTTCTTAAAAATTTTAGGATCGATTGCAAAAGTAACTTTGGGCTGTAAAGCTTTTTCTAATTTGGCATTAAGAGTCCTAACCTCTTGCTGCCAAATATGACAAACTTCACATTCCCTTCTGGGAATACATCCTGTAACATCCTTATCTTTTGAACTTTCTGCAATACTAGCTTTTAGACTTTTTAAGTCTTTTTCAGCTTTATAGACTTTACTCTCGAGAAATGAAAATATTTGTTTATCGGAGGATAATCTCTTAAAGGCATCTTCAGCTTTGTATTGCAGTTTTTCAAAAGCTAACTTTAGTTCAGAAAAGGTCATAGAAGAAAAGTTGTTAGGATATGCTTGTCTTACTTGTTTGTTGTGGTTGTCTTTCTTGTTGTAGAATTGATTTTTTGTATGTGCCATCAGACATAAATTTGCACTTTCATCACTACAACTTGAACTGTCATCGTCTGATGAATCGTTATCGCTTTCCCACGCAATATAAGCTCTTCTTTATTTGTTAAACTTCTTTGGTGGAGCTTTTTCCTTATCCTTTTTCATCTTTGGACAGTCTGGTTTGTAGTGTCCAACTTTACCACAATTGTAACAAGGTCCTTTACCTCTTTGCTTTTTATTTTCTTCTTGTCTTGGTTCTTTGGATTGTTTTCGAAAGCTTATGAGATTCTTATCGGAGTGCTTGATTCCATTATTTCGGATAAATCTATTGTATCTCCGAACAAAAAGTCTCATTTCTTCATCATCAAAATTTTCATCACTAGTTGAGCCATTATCATCTTGCTCTTTGGTTGAGGACTTAGAGCTAGAAGTCATTAGAGCTATTGACTTCTTCTCACCCTCCTTGTCTTTGTTCCTTTCTTTCTTACTCTTATTTTCGTATTTTCAAGACTTTGCAATTCTTGTTGATGTTCTTCCAGCTTTCCAAACAGAGTTGTAATGGTAAGCGTAGTGAGGTCATTTGCTTCCTTGATAGCTGTTACTTTAGGTTGCCATTCCCTGCTAAGATATCTCAGAATTTTATTAGTAGCAATTTCATTGGAAACAGGTTTTCCAAGTGCATTTAAACGACTCACAAGATGTACGAATCTCTTCTGCATGTCAGAGACAGATTCTCCTTGCTTCATGTGAAAGAGCTTGAACTCTTGATTGAGTATATTAATGCGGGATTGTTTAACTTCAGTTGTGCCTTCATGGGCAATTTCGAAAGCATCCCACATTTCTTTAGCGGACGTGTAGTGAGACACCCTATAATACTCATCAACACCAAGTGCTGAGATCATCATATTTCTGCCTCTCCAATCGCACGACCATTTCTTTTCGTCCATTTCATTCCATTGATCCTCAGGTTTAGGTACTATTGCACCTACATCATTCCTCATGGTGATTTGAAAAGGACCATTTTGAATGACAGTCCATACATTCCTGTCAATGGAATTTATGTGTACTCGCATGCATTCTTTCCAGTAGCCATAGTTTTCACCATTGAAAACAGGAGCTCTATTATACACCCCATTTGGTTCAAAGGCCATAGTGTTACGAGTAGATACAAAGCACCAGCTAATCGGTGCTCTGATACCACTTGTTAGACAGTGTGGCAAGTGATCGAGAGGGGGGTGAATAGATCACTTCTTACTTTTTCAAGGATTTAAAATTGTTTTATCAAAGCGAGTTGAAAGCAGCAAAAATCAATGTCCTGAATCAATTTTGTCTACTTTGAACCGACTACTAGAAATCTTGACATGTGAAAACTTTGCTGGATTTTTATTAAATGAAATGGATGAATGTACAACTCAGAAATCTTGAAGTTTCAATGCACTTATCATAAAACAGTATTTCCAATGAATTTAGAAATTTGATAGGCATTTTGTCAAACACTTGGCGAATGCTTGTATAATGATTTAATAGTGGTGGTTTGGTGAAAATGTTTGAGCCACTATATTTATCATTAGACTGTAAAACTTAGCATGCCAATTGAATTGCAAAATTATAGAATATGTAAAATTGTAAAGAGAAAGAAAGAGAGAACGATACGCATGCAGTTTGGTAAGGAAGTTTCACACTGTCGTCCTCGCGTGTGGGTACGTCTCCCTCTCAATTTCACAATCGAAACTGGGAACTTTTATATCAATATGCTGGATGTTTGATAGCAAGGTTACACTACACAGAAAGAAAGAAATCCCTATGATCTTCTTCTTCTTGTAAGAACCACCACTTGATATGAGTTGTATCAAGATTTCCTACAAAGTCACTGAATGATCCTCCGCTTCCACGGCCTGTTTGTTCAAATCCTTCTGATTTCCAAACCCCTTGCTACAGTTGAATCTGACTCGTGCGACCGTGGCTGACAAAACCCTCAAGAACACACCCGTTCTTGAAGGACAAACCCTCTGGTTTATTTCTTGAAGCTTCCTCTTCAACCTTCAACTCAGCTAGACTTCTTCAATACACAGATGAATGTTATCTCAAACTGCTTGATTCAATTCAACAAGGATGTTTGATTTTATTTGTTGTTATTGAATGTAAAATGGTTGAGAAGATGATGAAGATGAAGGAATGAAAAGCTTTTGGTTGCTCACAGTTGTTTTGCACACAATCTTCTATGTTGCTATGTTGCTTCTGAAGAAATTCTTGCTTATATTTATAACAGAAAACTGTTAGTCAAAAAGAAAGTGATATGAGTCAATGCATGTTGGTCATGTGTCGACTCATGTTAGTTATATATAACAAGATGAGTCGATACATTATGTTTTGAGTCGATACAAAATCATGTTATAGCATTTTACAGAACCAACACTTTTATACCCGTCGACACATAATGCGTATGTGTCGATACATACTGATTGTAAATTTAACTTTTGAATATAAAACATAGTATGAGTCGACACATGATATTATGTATCGATACATATAAGTTTCAAAATGTTTTCCAGGATCATCAGAATGTTTTGTGTCGATACATAAGGTTTTGTGTCGATTCATACAAGTATTACAGGGGCATCAAAATATTATGCGTCGATGCATGAAATTTATGTATCGATGCATGCAGTTTTTAGATTTACATTCCAGGGTCATCAAAGAGTTATGTATCGACTCATAAGCTTTTGTATCGATACATAATAGTTTTGAGATACAATTCCAGGGACTTCAGAAAGCTATGTATCGATACAAAACTTGATGTGTCGACTCATAATGATGCATTATGAGTGAAATGTAATTTTGGCTTATTCAAACATGTTATATTATATTTTTATAGTGCACACATGTATTTAGTGTTTCATATATATATTTGCAATCATTCAAAATCAATCTATGAAGGGGTTGCTCACACTAGAGTCGGGCTCGGATAGTAATTTTGAGGCCCATATTACAATAGGGCTTTTTTGGTCCAGCCCTAAAAAGCTCAGGCCCATCAGGGTCGGCCCGTTTAGGGTCGGGTAGCCAATTTTGACAACTCATCACATTTGCATCATTAGTCGGTCATTCATGCATTTAGGTTGACCAAAAGTCAACTTAAATCAACATTTGCATCATTTTAGAGTTAAAAATACTTGTTATCTCACTTCATGCATTTTTATCTCTTTACACTGCTTCATGAATTGCGTCAAATTGTTTATATGTTGATAATATTGATATTTCGATTTTATAGGCAGATTGTTAAAAGCGATTTGACACTATGCAGAAAATTAGCAGACAAAATATTTCAAGTTTTTACTTTGTTCTGCCTATTTTATGAATCTACGTTGCGCGTAGATTATGACGATATGCTCGCTTTACTTTTTCGGTGCAGATTGTAGTCTCGTTCTTAATTGTCAGCGTATATTCAGTCGGATATTCTTATTCTTGTTTTTATTTCGATTTTGATCATTTGCATCATTTTTATTAACCTTTGTGACTCGTAGTTTATTTTAATGCGTTCTTTTTTTTTTAAAATTAATTAAGTATCTATTTTTTATTGTTTTTTATTATTTTAGGTGTCTTTTTTTTATTCAGAAAAATTAAAACAAAAATACTTTTGAGTGTGTTAATTTTTATTCTTTTAGTTTTTATGTTGATCTTATCCAAAGCGGTGTTTTAGGCATTTAAATAAAATCAAAACCCTTTAGTGTGGATATATAAGTATTATGAGATAAAAGGTTTGTGGAGAAGAAGGCTATCGGAACCAAACAAAAACGAGACACAGAGAAACTAAATCCAGAAACACACTACTCCCTCTCACGTTCTCGTTCTCACCATCTCCATCTTCATGCACTATCCCAACGTCGCGACCTCCACCTGCCATACTACCACCAAACTCACCTTTCCACTCAGTGCTTCCTTTCACCCTCTGTATTTCGACTTCCAACCTCCGCTAGCTTCGCTCTGTTCATCCACCCACATCAACACATCTCCAAACAACATCCATTTCCGCTCATCGTTCCTCCACAATCTGCTCAAATCTGGCCGCATCGTGTCATTTCTGCGACTCATTCACGGACCATGCAACAACAACCTGCGATAAACTTATCCCCTCCACCATATGTCCATCGTCTCTTCTCTGTGGCCAATACCTTCTAGCCACTGTCCTACTGCCATTTTCGTTGTACATTCTCCCTCCGAGTTGATATAAACAACAACGAAACCCACCTGCTAGCACAATAACTTGTACGCAACATAACTCTCTTTTGGTCCGTATTCGCAGCAACTTTGACACATTTTGGTAAAATTCTCACCACCATTTTCATTACTTTTTTATTTGACTTTGTTGAATAAGTTAATTAATTGAGTTTGTGGTTTTTGTGATAATCAATTTGTTGAAGGTGATATGGATGACATTGTTAGTGTTTTAGTGTTGAAGTTGATTACATTGATGTTTGTTTAAATGATGAGATAACATGGCATTAGTGGTAAATTGTGTTGCAATATTGTTGTTTTTACGTGGAAGGTTAGTTATGATGGTATTGGTGTTAAACTCGATTAAAGTTTTTGTTTGTATCATGGTCTTTGTTGGTGGAATTTGTAAATTTCTAATGGTGGTGGGTTATAACGGATTATTGATTTAGATGCCATTTTGTTTGAGTAATTTTCGAAGATTTTGATTAAATATTTTGTGTTATATCATTTAAATTCAAATGATAATTTTGGTCGTAACATTGGTTGCTTTCCCATTTTGTTTTGAACATATTTGAAATGGAACTAGTGAACCTAATTGTTTATGTGTAGTTGTTGTCCGGTTTTCAATTTAATCGATTATGGCTTAATTTCAATCTTGTTTTGAATATGTCTTGAATAGAAACATGAGTGTATGCTAATTGCTTTTGATTTCTCATGAATGGAATAAATATTTGGAGTTGTTTTTGAGACGTAAAGCTTCCATGAGACTTAAGATTGCAAAGTGTTAACTCTTGAGACTTTATATCTTTTACCACTTCCTTTGTTAATTCACAAGTTGAATGTTAAATTGATGCATGTCTTGCTTCACTTATTTATTCATACATGTATGTTTCTTTGATTGAGAAAAATGATTCAACTATACATGTAAATTAATGTAAGTTTCATTTGGTTTATTTTGATTTCTCCTGTGTTACTAACATTGTTTATGGTTTGTGCAAGCTTTCAAGATGGCTCAAATGCACTCCTTCCTCTTTGCATACTTTGTTGATTTTAACTAATTAATTAAATGTTGATTTAGTTAGTTGATTTTGTTATTAAAAATTAATTAGTCTTACTATATAATTTTTCTTAACCTAATTAATTAAGTTAATCAACTCTTGATTAATTGGTTAAACATTCATTTCATATATCACTTATTCATCTAGCTTTGATGCATAGTTCTAACCTATTTGGTTCGAGTTCTTATTTCCTATGAGACAGAATTATTTCTTTGTTATCCTGGCTTTGTCTTTTTGTTGGGAGTTTCATCTGATGCATGGATTCTTATTCAATATTTTGAGGATCATCCGATGCTTTGAGCTTTATCTGACACCTTAGGTTTATCCGATGCACTTTCTACTCGTGATTTATTTTCACTCGATACTTGGTATACTCTTGGATTATTATTTACTTGTACCTTTAATCCAAAGGATGAGAATTTTGTGTTGACTTTATTATGTCAAGTGTTAACTTCTTGTTCAGCAAGACCTTCCTTACCTTAGCTTTTACTTTATGCTTTAGGATAGTCTCTTCATCTTCTCCCTTTCTTTAATTTTCAAAACCTTCTCATTTTTTCAAAACCTTCTTATTTTCTTTGTTGATTGCTTATGCTCACATGTACCCTTAGGAGTTTGATTTCATCTTGTTCAATGTGTGAATTAAATAGACTTTAGATTTTAAACCAAACATGATAGCATTAGTAAGAATTTCCCTCAATCCTAACTATAAGACCATTGTATGTGACAACATTAGGACTTGAGTTTCCCCTTAGATTTTCTCTTCCCTTTTGCATTTGCATCCTTAAAACTAAAACTCTTTTCTTTATCAAATCTCAAAAACACATAACAATAAAAAGGTGAACCATGTGTCATGAGCCTTATGTATTAGGAGAAGTATGAGGTGGTGCATTCCTAACCTTGTGTTTCCTCTAAATCATAGTCATTAATGCGGTTCAAATCACCAAATCCTTTTTCAAAGACTAAAAAACATTAAACATCATTCAAACCTTTTTGTACCCTCGTGCACCTTTTCTCCTTTAAATTTTTTAAGATTAGATATGAGTCATTTATAATCAAGATGTCATTTCACTATCCCCATGGTTGTAAAGATGTCGACATTTCTACTTGAGTACTAGAGGTTTGTCCAAATCCTCCTCATGTTGGTGCATTGTCCCTCTTTCTCATATTTTGTGGGTGATTAGTCGAGTCTTCTCCTTTAAAATGGCGACTTGTCTCTTCATTTAAAATCAATCAACAAAGAAACCTTTTTCGAGAAGAACTACAGTACTCTGATTTCCTATTACACAGTGGGGATACGTAGGCACGAGGTTTTGAAACTGAGACAAGCGCAATGATAAAAAAACTTTCTTTTTGTTTATTAATAATTCACTCATGCATTCCCTTAGCAAGTTTAAGCTTTAGTTAACACACTATTTGATTAGAACAAACATAATGGATCATGCGGAGTACCATAGATGTTTAGAGTGATAATACATTCTCTTTGCATAACTGACCCCTATACTTTGATCTCTATTCTTTCTTTAGGTTTTATTCGTTCTTTTCCCATTTCCCTTTGGAAACAATAAAGTGTAGTGGCGACTTTCACTTTGTGAGTTGAGTCAATTAATGGCTTAGTCTCAAATTTTTACTACTACATCACAGAAATATTCAAAACTCAAATTTAATACACTATTTATCATAAATTTATTTTAAAATATTGAGATTTAACATTTTTAAAAATTGGAATGAGATCAAACTTAAAATTTTAGAGACTATTTCACTAAAAAATTTCAAAAATAGAGATTTAATCAATTTAAAATATAATTCGATATTAATATGATCTACTGATAAGGAACAATACTCAGCCTTTCGAAGCATTTCATTTCAATTAAAATGAAAATGGAAGATGAGGCAAGAGTATGTTACTTCAAATTTCTTGGAAATTTATAAAGGAAATTTTTTTAACCAAAATAACAATTTCACATTGCACTCTTTGTTCACTTCACATTGCACTCTTTCTTCACTTTACCATTCTATTATTGCTTAATACTTAAGTTCCACCAAATATTTTAGATGTTCTTTGTACGAATTATCTCAATTGTCGTATATTAGTTCAACGACTTTAGTCTTCACTATCCATGCCTTCTTGTAAAATGGATTATAATAGAATTGTTAATACAATGAGGGATTATTGTACTCACTTTCAATGATGGATCTTGCTAATGAGAGGTAAAATTTCTTGGCATATTAATTGAGAGATAAGTTTCCTATGATCCTATGTCGGATAGGTGGTAATGCAAATGTGACGTGGATCAATATAACTTATCTTTCAGGAATCACTTCTCTTCTTATAAGATGATGTAAGTTAAAACGTGCACATCGTTTTTTATGACACTGAATAATGTACCTCCCTGAATTAGTGTGATCTATAGTATAATCCGCTGAGATTTCCATGTGAAACTTTTTATAGCTCTCACATTGTCTTCTTTTGTACGAAATTTGTCTCCAAATTTTAAAGCTCCTGTTGTCTGCATATACGGGTTGTAAAAGATATGTAAGGTTGATTCTCCTTCTTTCAAGTTCAAGTTTGTCATGTGATCAGGAGAATAATACACATTGTTAGAAGTAGGGGTGGCAAAACGGGCCCGGCCCGTTGGGCATGCCCATTTTGTTCATACTTTAGTGTGGGGCGGGCCAAATTTTTTTGCCCATTTTGCATTTTTAGGCTTTAAAGGTTCAGTGTTCGTGGGCTTTCTTTGCCCCACGCTCACTTTTTTACAGGGAGGGCCTATATTTTAGGCCCTCATCCTCAATTATGCCCGCCCCGCCCGCCCCATTTTTTGTGGGCTTTTGCGGGGCGGGCATGCCCGTTTGCCATCTCTAGTTAGAAGTAACTCATATTCAGAAGCAGTATTGTTAGTCAGAAGCAGAAGCTTCTGATGTTGTTGTTCCAGAAGTTGTGTTTAGCTTCTGGGGTCTGTTTTGTTTTAGCTTTAATAGTTGTGTCTACGTGGAAATTTTAGTTTGTGCATTTAAACAATTTTGTAACTAATTTTTCATTAATGCAGTAAGATAGTGTCTCTCTCAAAAGTTTGTTACAACCATTTTCTCTCTCTTCTTTCATCTTCATCTTCATCTTCAATCTTGTGCTCCAACAATTGGTATCTAGAGTTCTGGTTCGATTCACATGGAAACACGAGTGTATGTAAGGCATGTGTGATTGATTTTGTTGTTTGAATTCACATTGAATTCACGATCAGAATCGTAACATAATTGTATTTCTTGATTTTACGGGATCGGGAAACACGAGTGTTTGGTGAGATCTGAGTTAGTTTTCAGTGCACAAGAACGAAGATGAACGACAGGAATATCTTGAATACAAAGCTACTGGTGTTTGATGGAAAGAATTGGAATCAATGGATGATTCAGATGTGTGTGTTGTTCAATGCTCAAGGTGTTCTTGATCTCGTCACCAAAGGTTACATTCCAGTTGCAGTGGATGTGATGGAAGAACAAAGAAACACGCAAAGAGATACGAGGAAGAAAGATCAAAAAGCAAATTGTTGATTCAATGACAGTGAAGGATATGTGTGACATACTAGTACGGTGATATAGCGGCGATGCATCAGTGAAGAAGGTAAAGCTTCAGTCTCTATGTAAGCAGTGTAAAAATCTCAAATAGAATAATGAGAAGGTACCTAATTACATCTTTAAAGTGATTTTGATCACTAATGAGATGTAGCCTTGTGGAGAAATTCTTTCTGAACAAGTAATCATTGAGAAGGTATTAATATATCTTACTCCTCAATTTAGTTACATTGTTGTAGCAATTGAACATTATAAGAATATGAGTACCATGAGAATCAAAGAGTTGCAAAGTAGGTTAGAGGCACAAGAGTAGTGTCTGAATATGAGGAACTCTAAGAGAGTCTAAATAGGCCCTGAAAGATTCTTTTGTCAAGAAGGACCAGAAGCAGTCTTGGTCAGAGGCCAAGAAAAGACATAGTGGTTCTTAGAAGTCAGAATCTTCCAACTCTGATGAGAAAAAACATCAGAAGGGAAAGGGGAAGAGAAAATTTCAATGTTACTGTTGTAATAGGTTTGGTCACTTTGCTAAGGATTGTTGGCCAAACAAAGAAAAGAAGTCAGAAGAAGCAAACATAGACAGGGGAGATTCTGATGATGAACATGTGCTATTGATGGCTTATGAATCTGATGAGGAACCTGTGCAATTAACGATTTCTGAATCTGAAGGAGAGTCTGAATATGAGTCAGAGTCAGAAGATGACTATGAAGGAGACTCTGAAGACGAGTTAGAATTCGAAGGTGATCCTGATGGTGAATCTGATTCTGATCCAGATACTAATGATGATCCATATTTTGGTGGTCAAGCCTCTGAGGGAGGTCAAGTTTTTGAAGGTGGAACATCTGAAGGTAGAACTTCTGTAGGATGTTCAACTTTAAAAGGTGGTCTAACGTTTGATATTGTTCCAGAATCAAAAGGATATTTTGTACAAGTTTAGAGGCCACAAAGAATCATACAAATATCAAGAAGATTCGTAGAGTTTGACATGTTGCAAGATACTGAGATTGACTCTGAAGGAAAAGTCATTCAGTGTGTCATGTTAGTAGACTTTGAACTAGTGAATATTGAAGAATATCTCAAGAATAAAGTATGGATGAAGGCCATGAAAGAAGAACTTAAAGCTATATAAATAAATAAGACATATGAGTTGAATGAGCTTCTAAAAGAGAAAAAATCCATCAGCGTCAGATGGGTTTTCAAGATGAAATTAAATCCATATTAATCAATTAGAAAACACAAAGCAAGGTTAGTAGCTAGAGAATTTTTACAGAAATTTGGACTAGATTACTTTGAGGTGTTTATGCTTATAGCTAGGCATGAAATATGATGATTGCTATAGTTGCTAATAGAAATTAGTCTCTGATGCATCTAGATGTGAAATCTGCATTTCTGAATGGTCCATAAAAAGAAGAGGTATACGTGTCACAACCTCTTGAATTTGTTAACAAGAACAAGGAAAGGATGGTGTACAGGTTACATAAAACACTGTATGGACTGAAACAAGTTCTTAGAGCTTGGAATATGGAGATTTGTTCATTTTTCAAGTTGTAAGGATTCAGAAAGTGTGAGATGGAATATGGAGTTTATGTTTAGCATACTTCAGATAACAATATGATTCTTGTGTGTCTTTATGATGATGATATATTGCTAACAAGGAGCTGCTCAGATGAGATGGTCAAGTTCAAGAAGGTGCTGATGTATGAGTTTGAGACGACTGATCTGGGAAATATGATATATTTTTTAGGGATGGAGATTATGTACTATGAGAAGGGTATAATTTTGCATCAGCTAAAGTATGAACTTAAACTTCTGAAGAGATTTGAGCTAAAAATTAAAAGAATGCAATCACACATGTTGAGACGAATCACAAGCTAGATTATGGTGTTAAGGGCGATGATGTAGATGCTACAACTTTTAAACTATTAGTTGGCTCATTGAGATATCTCTGTAACACCTGACCCGAGATTTGTTATGTAGTTGAAATGGTAAGTAAGTTTATGAACAAACCAAAGTGGTCACATTACCAAGATGTTGTCAGGATATTGAGATACATTAAAGGGACTCTAAGGTACGGAGTGTTGTTCCTTTCTGGTGTTAAATCTAACTCAGAGTTGGTATGTTACTCAAATTGTGATTGATGTAGAGATAGAGTTGACACGAGAAGTACTTCTGGATATTTTTTCAAGCATCTAGGAAGTCTCATTTCTTGGTGCTCCAAGAAGCAACCTGTGGTTGTCTTGTAAACTTGTGAAGCTGAATACATTGCATGTGCTTTGTCTATGGGTCAAGTTGTTTGGCTGATAAATTTATTGCGGGATCTGAAGATCAAGGTAAGAAAGTCTATGAAGTTGATGATAGACAACAAATATGCCATAAGCCTTTCCAAGAATACAATGATGCATGGGAGAAGCAAGCACATTAGCACAAAGTTCTAGTTTTTGAGGAATCAGGTCCAGAATGGAGCGTTAGAAGTTGTACACTATAACACTCATAAGCAACTTACAGATGGTCTGACGAAAGTTGTCAAAACTGAATACTTTGTCCATTTGAAGGATGAAATTGGTGTTGTAGAGTTTAGTTACCTGAATGTGAATTAAGTGATGGTGTTAAAAGTAATTCATATTCATAAGCAGTATTGTTAGTCAAAAGCATAAGCTTCTGATGTTATTATTTTATAAGTTGTGTTTAGCTTCTGGGTCTGTTTTGTTTTAGCTTTGTTAGTTGTGCCTACGTGGAAATTTTAGTTTGTGTATTTAAACAATTTTATAACTAGTTTTTCATTAATGCAGTAAAAGAGTTACTCTCTTAAAAATTTGTTACAACCATTTTTATCTCTTCTCTTTCCCTCTCTTCTTCCATCTTCATCTTCAATCTTGTACTCCAACACACGTGACTGGAAGGTAATGATCGAAAATTTGTTAGATAACACTGATATCTCAGGACACTCACACCAAACACCTCAGACTCAGGCGGATACTAGAAGACCTCAAACATCTAAGGAAAATCGTGTGAGACCTCAAAGGCAAACACATGGGTCGTCATATGGAACCGGTGGACGTTTGGATCGAGGAGGTCATTAAAATTCTCTCCAATCGTGTAATTTTTTTATGGAACAATATTATAATTTAATTTATTTAATATTTAATATTTTTTTTGTTAAAATAATTAAAAATAATAAAATAAAACAAAATGACAAAGGAGTCAAGAGAGATGGGCATATGCTCCTAAAGCTTACATGCATGCGCCATTATCATTGGTATGACATTGGAGCATGGGCCAAATGCAACGACGCTTTAGTATAAATTAGAGTGCATGTGTTACATATTGTGACACATCATAATTTGATTTTCATTTTTAAAAAGTGATTAGTTTGATAAATTTTTGAAAAGGTGATTATTTGAGTTTTTTAAATATAGTTATTTCAAAACAAAAAAAATTTACATCATTTTTTAATTTTATTTTATTTTAAAGTAAATTAAATTTTTTAGGCAATTTACACGTAAGGTATAGTATCCTCATGAGCACTAAATAATTTACCATGAATATTTAGTGTTTATTTGAATGAGTTTTTTTTTTTTTTTAATATTTTGTAACTCAATTTTAAAACAACAGTTTTGAAGAAAAAAAATGATAATATTATTCTTAAAATTATTTTAAAGTTATGAATATAATAAATTTATTATTAATAAAAGTGTATTATTTTTTTATTTTATTAATTTTCAAAACTAAAAGTTAAAAAATCAAAACCTCTAACACTTATTTTAGTTTTTTTAATTTTTTAAACTCTTAAATAAATAATAATTTTCAAAAATAATATTGTAAAATTAGACTTACAAACAAGTTTTATTATTTTTAACTTTTAGAAACTAAAAAACACTTTTAAAATACCAAATCAAACACGTCTTAACCTTTCAATTACACACTTTCTTTCTCTAATTTGATATTTACATTATAAAAATATAGAAACCCTAACAAGTAATCAATTAAATTAGTCTACCTAATTTTAAAATAAATAAAAAGAGAGTGGGTGATGATAGTTCAGAGACAACTTGGATGGTTAAAATTAATACCCTTTCATTTTGATTTCATATGTTATTTTTTAGTTTCATTTTGATCCTTAACTATGATATATGAGTTTTATAATAGTTAATTGGACAAAAAAGATTAATATAACATTTTTTAAAAAGTTAAAGAACTAATATAAAAAATTATATTGTTCGGTGATCAAATTAAGTAAACTTATTAAAATTATATTGTTCGATGATCAAATTAAATAGATGGTGATAGTTTATAGATCAAATTAATGGTTTTTTTTCTTCAGTAAGTGCTTGATTTCAAGTTACTATATTCCTCATGGCATAATGGTTTAAGTGGCCGAACTTGACTGAGGAGTAGGATATGGTAGGTTAGGTAGAGTAAGACTTTTCATAGTCTAAGTCTGATTTAGTTGAAGTATTCAAAACTCAAATTTATTACACTATTTATCATAAATTTATTTTAAATTATAGAGATTTCATATTTTTAAAAGTTTGAATGAGACGAAACTTAAAATTTTAGAGACTATTTCAGTAAAACTCAATTTTCAAGAATAGAGACTCAATCAATTTAAAATATAATCCGATACAAATTTGATCTGCTGAGTAATGAACACTACTCAGCCTTTCGTATGAAGCATTTCATTTCAATTGAAATGAAAATGGAAGATGTGGGGGAGGGTATGTTACTTCACATTAATGGGAAATTTATGAAGGGAAATTTTGAACCAAAATAACAACTTCACACTGCACTCTTTCTTTCACTTTATCCTCTTATTGCTACAAAGACAATGTTATCTATCACTGAGATATGGAAGATTCAGTACTAGTTATGTGTGATCTATTACACAAACTCGTTATTGCAAAAACAAATATACTAACACAACACGTAGATTAACTCGCTTAGCTTTGGGATCTACAGCTTTGATGCTGCACCTTTGTCTAAGAACCATTTCAACTCCCCTTCAGGTGAAACCAATGCAGCAGGAAGCTTATCGGCTGTTTCAGATCCACGCAGCGCAGAGTGAACTGCATCTGCTTTACCGCTACCAGTCACCACAAGCGCAATGTATGCAGAGGCGTTGATCACAGGAAAGGTAAATGTTATTCTCTCTGGTGGTGGTTTTGGGGAGTCGGTAATAGAGGTAACCCATTTCTTATTCTCCTGCACAAGAGGGTGCCCTGGAAACAAAGAAGCTACGTGCCCATCAGGGCCCATGCCAAGCAACATGAGATCAAACTTTGGAAATCCACTGATTGATGATGACGTTATCACATTGCTATTGACCAAGTGTTTGACACATGTCTCGTAATCGTCAGCTGCTCCTTCAGCTGAAAGGGCATCATTGATTGCATAAACATTGCCGGATGGAATGGGCACCTGCCAAGAGAATTGTGATGAGAGTACCAACAGGTTAGAAAGACATGAAAATATTTTAAAAGAAGACTATTTTAGGGAGAAAGAATACTCTGGTCATGCATGCAGACACTTTAAAGATTATACATAAACAAAATGGTGAAGTACCGGTACCAGGTACACGTACCATACTCGTGATACTAGATTTTTTCTCATTGTTGTGTTTCGAGATGAATTTTTGGTTTTCTGATATATTAATAGAGTATATTTATGTGTTATAATTTCTTTGTTTTTGTATCTTAATACTATTTTTGATTTTTTTTTAACTTTTAAAATGATCTTTTGTTAGAAACTGAACAATTTAGTTCTCTACTCGTACATTTTATGGAAAAACTCTTATTTTTTATTTACCTACCCGTACCTTGATTTTTTTACAAATGTTGTATCCCGTACCGGTACCAGTACCCGCACCGGATACCGTACTCATACATATGCATCATACTGACAGCAATTAATTCCCCTTTAGCCTCATTTTTTAGGAATTAGCAATATACCCAACACTTGTCAATATAAAAATAAAACCATCTTATCCAACAAAGGGGTTCATTCGCCTGATCATCTACACATGATAGTGTCTCCCTGAAATGCTTTTACTTCTCCATTCACTTCACCATTAAGTTAATGTTATTTTTTGGTTTGCAATAGCTTTGTAACACTAACACCCTTCCGGTTTGATATTGATCTCTCTGAATACAAGTAATAGTTACACCACCCCCACCCATGGAGTCTCTCATAGCTCAAACCTTTGTCCTCTACCACTGCCCCCCAACATCTTGTAGGTGACTTCAATAAAAACATGCCCATATAACGCAATCTGTCCAATTCCAAAATAGGGTTCTAATCGATAATGTTACAGTTAAATATCTATGCAATCTTTTCTCAATTTTTCCTAACAAATTCTTCAGTGTTGGTTTTATGTATTTTTAATGAAATATAAGGTTGGCAGCAAATTTTGCTGGAAAGCTAGTGCTTCAGCATTCACAGAACAAACTTTAGATTCCTTTGCGTATACCCCATGAGTTAGGAATCCAAGATTGCATTCCAAAAAAATTACAATTTATTTAAGAAATAGGAGAGAATCTCTCCTCCAAGGGTTTCCCCTTCAAAATAGAGAATACTCTATTCACAGATACAAATACTCAAAGATGCTCTTATCCTTCGTGTTCTCGTAACTACTATAATATATATTATTCTACATCCTAACACGGGTGCTCAAGCATTAAGCAATGGGAAGAAAATTGCAGTGCCCCGTGCATGAGCACCACCATTAAAATCTCACCAAGTGAGGTAGTGGCTTTAAATAGAAGAAGGAAAGGAGCTGAAAGTACACTTTGCATATACGGGGCATTTGAAGTGTCGGTTAGGATCTTGTCCATCCTCAAAATGGAGAAGATCCCAACTCCTAAAGTATACCTTATGAGCTTTTGATCGAGAGGAAGCTTGAAGGTTCAACCTACGACTCATCATTAATGGACATCCTCACTTCATTTTTCTCTATTTTCATCTCTTTGCCATGATTTTCAATTCCAATTAAATCTCTTGTTAGAGTGTAGTAGTTCAGTTTGGATTATGTAATGAATGCTTCATTTTTTAATCTATATTCCATTCTCTTAAGATTTGAGAAGTGTTCTTCTTGCTTAATGCTTCTTTAGTGTAGCTAACCATGAATTGATTATGGACTTATAGTAGAGTTGAAAAAATTGACTGTAATCCAAATCTAAGAGGTTCAAATCTATTGATGATATGATATATAAAAATATATTTAGTAATTTGAGATGGTTTTGCTGAAGTCCTATTGTTTGATCATTCCTTTTTCTCATTAAAAAGAACTTAAGAATTGGTGAGTTCATTTGGTTAAAAGATGATCAATTAACCAAGGAATTGGCGGACTGTTTGGTTGGAGAGGGAATGGAAGGGAGGGAGGGGGAGGAGAGGGATTACTTGAAGTTTTAGTAGTTTGGTTCAATTTTTATGGAGAGGATGGGAGGGGAAAGGAGGGGATTTAATCCCCTCCAAAGTTAATTTTCATACAATCCCTCCCCTCGTCGAACCAAAAACAGTTTTTTAAAATCTCTCCCCTCCCCTTCCCTCTCTTCCCCTCCCTTCCATAAAAATCTCTCGCCTCCCCTCCCCTCCACTTCGTTGAACCAAAATAAGGTGGGATTAAAAGGTGACAAAGGCTGATGAAACTATCTCAAATTGGTCGATACCTTTGCACACTACAACTCTTAACTTTTATTGAGGAAAAGCATGAAATAAGCTTAGTAGAAGTAAACAATGAATGAAAGTCTTTCAGAAAGTATCCATTCAGCAATAGAAAGATTTAGAAGACTCAACCTTTCAAATCTGAAGCTAGAGATTAGACCAGAATTGATCTAGCGTACACAGCAAGGTCTGAATGCAGTCTTAACAATTTTTTTGTGAAATCTTTAAGAGAAAAAAAACTCAAACTATTATTCTATTGCATCTTGTTCTGTTTTTATTGTCAGTGGCTCAGTGCAGGTTAATTTTCTTTTAGATTTATTTCTAAAAAAGTTCCATGGATTTGCAAGGCTCCAGTGTACAATTGCTGGACCCATTAGTGGGTTGGGTTTTTACTTGTCAGGCATTAGGAAATAGAATTGGCCTATTTTGGTTTATAAGAAGCCCATCATGTGAAACAAGCCCTAAAATTGAGACTCTTTCTCTAAACCCTATAACTGTAACCCTTTCTCTAAATCCTAAAACTCAAACTTCATTTTCTCCAACAGGCGTGCAGCTTCTTCTCCCGCTGTCGCCCAACTGTCTATGTTGCACCTCTGCACTTTCCGGTCTCATCATCACCTCTTCTCTTCAAGTGAGGATGGTGGCCGGTAAACAGAGCCATAAAATTTTCCTTGCGAACTGGATCAAATGGGTCCTTGACAGAAGCTGATCCTACGTGTTTATAAGCCATGATGCACGCACCACCTCATCAAGATATTTCAGCACCGCATCTCCGCACTGAATGGAGGATGTCAAGTGAGATCGTACAATCTGTCTCGTGCGGCCAACAACCATGCTTCAAGTTCAAACCACAATCCACATCTAGTATTATCCATTTTGTCTTAAATTAGGGAATTAGTGATCGGTAGCTTCATTCTATTGAAAACACTACTCACCCATCCCTTTCAACAATCTTATGACTTGGTATACTTGCCAAAGTCTAAAATCGATCCTCACATACGGATTGTTTTTTTTACCCAAGTAACACTCACACTTCAGATCGAATACCATATGATGGTGTTACACAATGACAGAATACCGATCTACGTGGTTACATTCTATCAGTTCTAGGTTTTCAAATCATTACTAATGTCTCTGTCTTTATGCTTTAATCTTCATAGATTTTTTACTATAAAGTTAATGAAACAAGACCTAAAAATCATGAAAAAAAAAACAGAAGATACCTTGGAGAGAAAGCCATCAAAAGCAAGCTTATAGTTACTATCTTCATGATCCTTAGGTACAACTCTCTCATCCACCCAAAACACATGCCATTTACCCCATTCAATAGAATCAACATAAGGAGCCTCCAACAATTTCCTAAAATCACATTTTCACCATAAAACCATAATAAACACAACACTAACCTAATTTAATTCAATTCAATTAATGATCATCAATAATCAATAATAACAATAACTGAAAGAAAAGACTCACTGAAGATGTAACCAAAAAAAAAAAAAAAAAGACTCACTGAAGATAATTGATCAAAGAACCACCAGACAAGCAAACAGTGAAAGCCCCTCTTTGTTGAGTAAACTTATTGGATAGATCAGCGACGTATTTAGCCAGAGAAACAGCTAGTGCCTCTTTCTCGAATACCTCAACTTCAACCGCCATTGAAGATTTCACAGCCTCGGAAATGAATCTCTTGTTGGATTTGATGCTGAGTCCTTTGAATCTGAGGGGTTTGAAAGAGAATCGAGTGGAAGATGGATGTGAGTTTGGGTTTGAAAGGGACGGCGATGGGGTTTGCGGAGTGTTAAGACGCAAGGTGGAGTGGGTGTATGTGTAGGCCATGTTCGGTGTGTGTCTGTCTTGTTCTTATAAGTGGGGAGTCAAATCAAAAGTAACACGTTCTCGCTTGTTTGTTCACCAACCAATTTCAAAAGAGTGAAGTGTGTGTTGTGTTGGTACATTTTCCTTTCTTTTTCTTCTTTCTTGCCTATTTTATTCTGTCGTTTTTCGATACACCCAACCAAATGGTGCTTTCAATCTTAATATATTCTTGTCAACATTATTGAATATGGTATTTAAGGCTTTGTCGTTTTCAAGAGTTTCATCATCTTTGTCTTTGGACTAATCATCTTTAGGCTTTAAGTTTGTAGAATCATTTTGAGAAGTGATCACATATGTTTCCATCCTTTAACCACAGTCTTTTCAGTGTTACAACCTATAGATTTAAGAAAAGCAATCATCATGGCTTTCTAATAGTCATAGTTTGTGTCATCCAAAACATGTGGCTTATTGACTGAACCTTCATCCTTAGTCTTGTCCATTTGAACAGAAAATATCCTCACTGGAGCTCACTCAAATAAAATAGGGTGCAAGTTCTGATGTCAATTGAAATTTTGTTCTAGATGGGACAAATGTTGAACACGATGTTAGAACAAGTAGTCCAACAAATTAAATCAGATTTAACACACAGATGGACAACAATACAGAGTCAATGTAAAAGCAATAAATAACATCAGATATTGGTAACCTAGTTTAGTACAAACAGCACCTACATCTAGATGACACTATACCCAATAAAGAAAATTCCTTACTTCGAATTAGTACACGTAGTCTTATATGGACACTAACCATATGATGTTCAAGGTCTCTTCCTAATCCTAATGACTTTCTATTTAGGTCTCCCCCTAAATATGATAACATCTCTCACTTTCTCTCAATCAATAATCTCAAGTGATCAACTTCAATAATAATCCTATTGAATGTTGAATTTTACAACCCAACTAAGACAAACCAACAATTATGCCAAGTTACTGAAACATAGAGTGGCGTACACAAAGATTCAACAATAACTCTTTATGATGGCATTAATGTGGAATACAAGTTAGAAAGACTTAAAATCCTAGTGTTTGTAATCGGTTTTAAAATGAGAGTCGTCACCCTTAATTTTTATCCTAAGGAAGAGAATATAAAGGTTAACCCTAAAAAGTTAGAGATCCTAGGTTTTTTGACTCGGTTTTAGACGAAGGGAAGGTGTTAGGCACCCCTCATCTACCTTGTTCAGAAGGATACTAGGGATAGAAGTGCGATCTTTAAGAAATAGGGTTTTAGTTTTTGATTTAGGGAACTCGCCACGATTTTAGTCGTGTGCCTACGTATCCTCTTATGAGGAATCAGAGTCACAATTCATAGTTCGCGTGGGTTGGTATTTTTTATGGATTATGAAAATATTTCAAATTCTCCTTGTACTTAGTCGGGGTGTGTGAATAGCGGAGATTTTGGACAAAATGTGTAGTTAATTAAAAATATCTCCATAATCCTTTTCGAAAATTAATTGTTGAGTTTATTTTGATTTATGAAAGAAAAAAAGTTTGTTGTTGGTTAAATATTTTTTAAGTATTAATTATAGAAAATATCTTATTTAAATGCATGATTAAAAAATAATTTAATGCAATAAATAAAATATATTTGAATGAGTTGAAAAATAACATTTGATTTAATAATAATAATAATAATAATAATAATATAACAAATGATTATAAAATATAATTATAAATGTATTAAAATAAAAATATAGAAATAATAAAATAAATAAATTAAAAACGCAAGGGGTGTAAATTATATTAAGGTAGTAAAATAGGGGGTGTTAACAACATGGGCCAAAATCCAGATATTGAATTTGGCCCAGTAGCGCAGGTGGTACATTTTAGAACTATGGAGTAAAATTGGGGGGTGGGAGTAATAGAGGCCCAAGTCCAGATTTTAGACTTGGCCAATTAGGCTGGGGGTATAATTTTATGCGCGGTTAGTAAAAGCAAAAAAAAAGGGTGTTTTAGATATGGGTCAGGCCCATGATGGCTTGGGATGGACTCGTTTGGCCAAGATGTGGGGGGTATACGGCATTACCATGGGTGTGCGCTTTTGGACCGGTTGATTGGGATCAATTGGCTATGATTGAAAGTGCATGGTGTTGTACCCCAAAATTTGCCCTCTCATGTTTTCCAAAGTCTTTCCCCTGCATGGCTGATCACAAACCCTTGCCTAAGAAAAAAGAAAATTTTTGAGTGGTGCTTTAAGTACCTTTCGATTGGCATTCTGAAAGGCCCTTCGATTGGTACTTTGAAGGAGCCTTTCGATTGGCATTATGGTCAAGGCCTTCGATTGGCATTCTGAAAGATCCTTCGATTGGTATTCTGAATGAGCCTTTCGATTGGCATTCTGCAAGCACTTCGATTGGCATTATGGACAAGGCAGCTTCGACAGGCATGATTAACCATGTCCTTCGATTGGCATGAACAGCACCTTTCGATTGGCCTGTTAACAAAGCCTTTCGATTGGGATCCTTCGATTGATATTTGGACAAGGGCCATTCGAAGAACACCTCCCAGACCATTTGGAAGAGGCCATCAAAGGGCACTCAGAAAACATGTCCAGGTACACTGAACATGAGAAAATGGCATGTTTACCTTGCAAATATGGAAATAATTAAATGCTGATTGTGGATTTAATTCCTGAGTTAAAGGCCAGATTCTTGCCTTTTCTGTTCCTAAAGAGTTGATTCGACCAGAGTGTTTTTGTTCAACTCAAGACCATTCGAAGAAGCATTCAGAAGGCTCATTCGAAAGGTACATGAGAAGTCCATTCGAAGGAGGCAACTCAAGGCCAATCGAAGAGCATGGCCTGAAGGCATTCGAAAATCAAAACATGTCCAGGTTCATTCCAAATTCCAAAGAGAAATGAATATTTCAAAAAATGAAATATTTTAATGTGTCTGATTCTTGTCTCATGGCTTTAATGGTCTGTTTAATGGTTGTCTCTTGCCATTACTGCACCCTCACACCCCTATAAATACAAGATTCAACATACATATCCAGGACACGAAAATATACAGAAAAGATAGAGAAAAGAAACAAGGAGAACTTGGAGATACGCTGCTGTTGTACCCCAAAATTTGCCCTCGCATCTTACCACCAGAAATCTCAGCTTCAGGCATTTCCTGACTTTTTCAAACTGGCTCAAGAATCGGACAAACGGACTTTTCTCATCAGTCAAACAAAATTAGGGTTTTATTGATTTTTAGGACTCTGGATTGCTTCAAATAATTGGCTTAGGGTTTTGGTTGATTTTGGCTCAATTTTGATCAGGCGAATGTTCATTGGCATTTAATCAGGAATTAAGGTTTTATGGGCATATTCTCAGAAAGGTTAAAATTCCACAGCACTTTGCAAGTTACTCCGAGATTCGGGTCGAATTCGCATTGTTTTAATTTAATCAGTAAGAGGAGGCAATTGGTTTGAATCCACCAGTCAAAGGATATGCGCAGTTTGGAATTACAGTGTTTGTTGAAAATCAGTGAAAAGAGAGAACGCGCCTGATCAGTGTTTTGATTAACTATTGATTCGCTTTGAAGATACCAGGTTTAATTGATCAATGTGCTAAAGTATTGTTTATTTAAATTATTTATTATTCTAAATTAAGTGATTGAAATTTATTTTTTCAATTATTTTAATTCAAAGAGTTTTAAATAAATAAATAAACAATAAAGAAAGAGGAAATAGAATTGGTTGGATAATAAAGACTTTTATTGATATTTGAATTATTTGTACAATTATTGTTTAATTACAAACAATGGTTTACATTAATTTAAATATTAAATAAAAAGAAAACTATCCTATTTTTTTTTCTAATTCTTCAGTCTTCATTTAGTACCCCTCCATCCATATTCATCTGCAAAAGAAAAGGAGAAAAGTCAAAAAGCAGATAAAATAACAAACGACAGAAAAAACTCATCATTAAGGGCCACTGATTGGGATCAGTTAACCCTCTCTGCAAATCACGGGATTTCTCCCGGTTCACAAAGAGGGAAGAATTTTATTCATTTAATCATGAGTGCAAAATGTCAAATGCATAAGTTCAAAATGTCAAACTGCATAGTTCAAGTTCAACCAAACTGAAAAAATCCAAGTTACAACTTTCTATCAAAATCCAAAAAGTACAGTTTGCTGTCAAAAATGCCAAAGTCTACTCAAAGCTGTCATAAAGAGGATTTGGCAAAGATATGGAAAGTTCACAAAATACAAAAGCTGTCAAAGAAGAGATAAAGAATGCAGAAGAAATCTTTTATGCAAGCCAACTACACTTTCATCATTTCTCAGTGGCCACTTTCAGAATAAAGTACAGAAAAAAGCATAGTTTAATATTTAAACTGTACTGAGAGAGAGAAAAAGAAGAGATAAGATGCAGGTTTTCAGGCTTAGGCAGGCATAGATAGGAAGAAAGATATAACACAAAGAAAAAACACAGTTCAAGAGGCAGAACTTTTCACTAAAGGAAAAGAAAGATATACAAACTGCTACTGCATATACAAAACCTGCATTAACCCAGAAAGCCAGGATACCAGTTCAGAAAACCCCAAAAGCATCATACCTGCTAAGCATTTTAAAACCTGCATTGGCTCAAACCTGCTGAGGCCATCAACAAGAAACACACAAGCCTGTACCTTTAAGCCTTATAACCTGTCAACAACTCAAACACAGGGGGAACACACAAACCTGGACACCAAGCCATCAAACCTGTTAAGCTCCTAACCAGCAATAAGCATCAAAACCAGCCTGAAGCAAGAGGCCAAAAACCAGTAAAACCTGCATTAGCCTGAACCTGCTAAGACTATCATAACCTGTTAAAATCCAAACCTCATAACCTGCATATCCCAAGCCTGCTGAAGTCAAGCCTGAAAGGCATAAAACCTCAAGCAATGACCATTAACCCCTGTCTAAACCTGAAACCTGCTGAAGCAAAACCAGTTACCAACCAAAAACCTCAAAACCAAGTTCAAGCCTGAAGCT